GAAATATTTCAGTTGGTGTGCAATGAATCTGAAATATATGAAAGTTTCATTTTTATCATTACATTATGGAAAATAATGACCTTTATCACAATATGCTAATTTTTTGAGAAGGACCTGTACTCATCTTGTAAAGAGGCATACATATTTAAATTTCTTTTTTTTTAACAAAACAAAATAGCAACCAAAAGGACAGTCAAAATGAAAAGTAGCAAAAAGAAAAAGAAAAAAAACCCAGCTAGATTATAAGGAGGTATAGAAAATTAAAAACAGGAACATGTCTGCATTGGTTTTTGTCAGGAAATTAACAGACGTTTAAAGCCACTTAGAGAAGTCAAGGTCGAGAGCTTTTGATCTTTTTGCAAGATATTCCTGGAAACAGGAGTGGAGTAGGAAATGGTAAATGGACTGTACTTATATGGCACCTTTCTATCTTATTTCAAGATACTCAAAGCGCTTTACACTACAATCTGTGTCCTTATTTACCCATTCATACAGCACTCTACTAGATCTCTACAAATCTAATTGAACAAATCATTCTAAAGAGAGGCAGCACGGTGGCGCAACTGGTAGAGCTGCTGCCTCTCAGCGAGCAGGTCCCTGGTTCAAACCCCGGTCCAGGGGCCCCTCTGGGTGGAGTTTGCATGTTCTCTCCTTGCATGCGTGGGTTTTCTACGGGTGCTCCGGTTTCCTCCCACAGACCAAAAACATGCATGTTAGGCTGATTGGTAACTCTAAATTGTCCCTAGGTGTGAATGAGAGAGTGAATGGTTGTTTGTCTCTATGTGGCCCTGTGATGGACTTGCGACCCGTCCAGGGTGTACCCGGCCCCTCGCACAGTGATTGCTGGACATGGGCACCAGCAACCCCCGTGACCCAAAATGGAATCAGCAGGTAAAGATAATGGATGGATTCTAAAGAGACTAATCAGTGCTTTAGATCACATTCATACACTGATGGGACACAAGGCCCTTTTACCTAGTTCAGTCCTCACTGAGGGGACACTGCATGTAATAATGTGAGCATGACGACTTGAAAAATCAAAAATGGCTGCCACTATAAACTGGAGGTTATGAATATAACGTTGGTTACGTACTGTAACCCTAGATTCTATGAGTATAGGCGTAGCCCTTTAAGACTGTCGCTAGTGGGTTTATCCCTAGGCGCTCAACGCAGCACTGAAAACTTTAGTCCACGCCCACCTGCGGTGTGTGGGCCTCACCCCCGGTCCATATAAATTACGGTGAGACCGGGTAATCGGCTCCCAAATAGCTTTTTTCTTCAGCCATTTAGGAACCAGTGAGGCCCAGAGCTTAAAGGGCTATACTCTATACTCATAGAATCTGGGGTTACAGTACGTAACCAATGTTCTATTTTGTATAGACTTCTCCCTTTAAGACTGTCGCTAGTGGGTTAAAGGCGAAGCAGGATATAGTCTATGCCTCACTGGGTCCACTCAGACACAACATGAAGCACCTGCTTGCACTGTAACTTCTCAATGACGACACGCGGGCACGGCTTCTTTATTTG